CAGATTTGGGAGAACATGGTCACTTTTGTATTTTCCATCATGCCCTCCTTACCCCTTCCCATCTTTTGTTCTGAAATAGACCAAAAATTAAAGGGGACTGTTTGTGACACCAGAAAAGATTCCACTTGCACAGATACTTTTTGGGCGGAGTAAATTTGCCCTGTAGCAAGCAGGGGTGTGCAGGGAAACCGGGCTCGAGGCAACATCAAGGGCACCCTGACCCTCCCAGCCTGGGTCTCCCAGCCTGGTGGCTTGCGCTCCAGACTATGCCGGGATGCATGTGGGACATGATGGAGGCTGCAGAGGTGTCTGGCTGCATTGCTGGGACCACGTGGCAGGTCCCTGGAGATGCTCCTTGGCAAGGCTGAGCAGGATGCTCTGGGGTCCTTCTCACGGCAGCCGCTCTGCCCCGCCACAGCTGTCTGGAACAGATGAAGCCCCTGTGCAGTCCCTGTTCTCTAGTCATAAAGCCACTCGTGGCTCTTTATACCCTAGATTACCTGCTTATTATAAACCTGAGCAATTTAACAACAGCCAATCAAGCTCATCAGAGGACAAGTGCCTGAGGCTGGAGCCCTAGCCTTCCCTACGAGGCACTCCCAGGACTTCTGCCTTCTGCTTCCTCTCCAAATCCTAACTCTTGGCCACCTGGGCAGCCCAAGATTCTGAGCAGTGCCTTGGCTTGGCCTGCCTGCTGCTTGTCTGGGACGCTGGGGAAATGGGGGACAAGCTCTGATGTCATCAGCAACAGGGAGAGGCTCTTCATTAACTCTGTCTCCTGCCCTCTAAGAGGTGGAAGGAGCAAAAAGTCTATGTCTCTGGCATCCCATCCCTTCTCTCAGATTTCCCTAAAGTCTCTCTCTGCTAAGTCCAGCTCGTCTTTCCCCCCTCCTGGCATGGCTCATAAGTGGTTGTTCCTTTGCTCTTGATCCTCCTTGCCTCCAAGCATCCCTTTGGCCCCCACTGTCCCCTGCAGGCATCCTCTGCCCCTAGGACTGCTGATAAGTGTCACATTGGGCCTGGCATTCCCGCCCCAGCCAAGATCTATTGGCCTAACCCTGCCCAGCCCCTGACATGCCCAGCACCTGGCTGTGCTGCAGATGCAGACCGGGAAGATAAAAGCAGCAGCTCCTTGGGGCACACCCACCTCAACCACGCAGGCGCAGGTGGAGAGAGGGCCTGGTGGCTAGAGGCAGCTGCCCAGACCCTCTGTCCTGAGAGTCCTGCTGGAGAGGAGATTCGGGGCTGGGGAGGCTCCATATCCCCTCTTCCCATGGCCCCAGGCGCTGCCCTGCTCACCTACCCCAGGAAATCGGTAGGCGGGGAGGGAAGGGGAAGGGTCTCCCTGGCCTGCTCTCCCACTCTTCCTCTGGCCCTCGATTCTACCTAAAGGCTGCCTGCCCTGCTTCTCTTCTGCCCACCCTCTCGTCACCCACTCACAGGCCTGCTTGCCAGGTCCCAGGCTGAGGAGTGGCTATTAATTATTAAAGCAAACAAAAGCATTTCCTAGCAGGGAGGCTGGCCTGCAGCTGCTTACAGGAAAGGCAGCCCCAGTGGGCTTCCCTCTCCGGGGCCCTGCTAGTGTGCTGGGACCAGCTCCAGAGGGAGGGCTGCTCTGGGTCCTCCGGGGGTCTCCTCCAGGGGAAGGGCTGGTCTGGGCCCTCCACAGGTCTCTCCAGACTGGGAAGCACATCAGAAGGAGAAGAGAGCTACTTCTGTGCTGAGCACACCTGCAGGAGGACTTGGGTCCGCAGGGGACTCAGGGAAAGAAAGGAGTGCTGGGAAAGGGCGTATGGGACTCAGAGATACAGTTCTGTTGGTTCAGGGCAGGAGCAGGGGTCCTCGTGCAGACTTTCCTGGCAGGGAGACTGTCTCTACCAGCCTTCCAGCCTTCCCTTCTCTTCCCTGTTGCCTCCAGTTTTAAGGGGATGCAGCCCCTCTTCTCTCCCTACCGATCTTTTGTCCGGAACTTTCCTTCCTGTTGGCAGAGCCTCCCTCCCTCACTGATTTTAGCAGGCCTCCTGGGCCTTCCCCTCCTTACCCACCTCCTGTAAAACTTTGACATTGTTGTAAAAGCCGAGCTGCAGAACTGGGGAGGAGTGGCTGCCCCACTACCTGGTTAGGTAGAACCTAGAGCCCTCCAAGGTCAAAGGGGAGCCCAACAGAAAGGAATTCAGGAACTTCTAAGATACACTCCTGCTTTCTTCAGCAGACACTCACTGTCCCCCTACGGACTGCTTGAGCCTGTCCTGGGTGCTGTGGATACAAGGATGAATGGGTCACCAACCCTGTCCTAGAGGAAGGCCCCAGTTGGCAGGGCAAGGGAGACCAGGACAGGCAGAGGACAACAGACACTGGCCTATGGTAAGCTTCCTTAGGCAGCACTAAGAACTGTTCCCCTGGGCACAGATAGAACCAGGTGCTGGGGTGGGTGACCCTGAGGCTGGTGGGACTTGATTCAGTGGGTGTTGTGGGTACTAAGGGCAGGGACTGTTTCAAGAGAAGACAGGACTTACTGGAGGTCCAGCTAATTTTCCAAGTGTCCGTTGGATGCCAAGTATCATCCCGAGGCCAGGAAGGAAGGCTGGGGTCTGATTGTGATTGGCCTTGAATGCCAAGTATCGGGGGAAGTGGGGGATCACTTTATTTTTAATCGAGGGGGAGACATGATCAGAGAAAAGTGCTTCGGAAATATTCCTTTTCTCCTGGTACATGGAAGATGGATGTAGGGGAGTGGTGAGGGGCTGGGGCTGGGGTGGTAAACCAAGGTACAGTTCATCTTCAAGCCAGGAAGGAGTGGGGGGAAAGGGGTGTCAGTGCTCAGAGTGGTGACTGTGGGCACTGAGATGGGGACTAGGACACACAGGGGAGCATCCCTAAGCCTTGACAACCAGGCGCATTTAGGGTGATGGTGAGGAAGAAATCAAAGATGACGCGCAGGCTTGAGGGAGGGTGCTTCTGTGAAAGTTTCTCAGACACGAGAGGGACAGAAACCAGGCAGAGGTCGGAGAGGGAAGCAAGGGCAGGGGAAGGAATTTTGGTTGTTGCTGTTTCAGGATGGGAAGACTTGAGCAGTGGACTGACTGAGGAACAAGAGACAAATGGGACAGATGACAGGCAACGTTGGGAAGAATGAGGAGATGGGATTAGCTTGCTCTCTCCGGCAGCGGGGAGGAGAGTCAACCAAAGCACCGAAGGACCAAATGTCTGGGGGCTCCCAATTTGTGTCGTGGGACAGAGAAGTCTCTAGGCTTGGGGATTAGCAGACCAGGCCTGAAGAAACGCCCCTGTTCAAATTGCAGAAGCCCTCTGAGTCCCAGCAATGTGGCCCTGGGGACTCAGACTGGACACCTCAACCCCACTCAAGAGCCCCTGTGTGCAGACGACACACCTCATGCACCCCACACAGGCTACAAGGGCACTTCCTCCTTCTTCCCTGCTCCCCTTCATCAAGACTGCTGGCTCTGGGCAGGCACTGGGGGGAGGTCAGAGAGAAATGGAACCTTCACTCCCAGAGACCCCACTGGAACTCCTCACCCTTACAAGGAGCTCTCAGCACACAGCCGGAGGTGAGGAGAAAGATGGGGCCATGTGAAGAAATTGACCATCTCAAGTTAAACGAAAGCCAGAACCAACAGAGCGATGGGCAGGATATGAAATTGTAAGCACAGCACAGGAAAACACAAGTTATTGGGGAGAAATACAGGAAGGAAATAGGCTAAAATGTTGATGGTTGCTGTGTTCGAGAGGTGGGATTTGGTTTTTTATTTTCTGGTTTTCCTGGAATATAGTTATATCACTTGTAAAACTTATGGAAATTAATTCATCCACAAGAGCCTTTCTCCTTCTGAAGAGATCAGCTGCAGAGAGAGTCCCCAGCGCTCCCTCCTGATAGCCACGAAAGGGCAGACAAACAAGGCTTCAGTTGGTGCAAGAAACGGGATGTGTGTCTGTTACAGGGTGAGGTGGGGGGGCTAGGAGTGACGTCCTCTGGACAGGACTGGGGGTGTGTGGGCCGGGGTGTCAGGTCTGGTCGGCTTCAGCAATCCCCTATCAGAATCCCTTCAGCCAGCGAGACAGCAGCTACTCAGACTTCTGGGTAGCCCAGGGCCCACTGTCCCAGCTGTCTGCAGAGTCCGCACCTCCCCAGTTCTAACCACTGTGAACTCCCCGTTTGATGTCTAAATGCCATCCTCCCTGCTCACAGCTGGAGGTACAAAAAGCCCAGCGGCCCCAGGTGCTTTGGGGGTGAGCCAATAAAGTTTTAAAGTTCCTGTCCAAATCCCGGAGTCAATCAGCCGCCCAGACACCTCTACAAAGGAGTCAGGGGAGACAGGTGTGGGTGCTGGGTTCCCACTGCCTCCCACAGGACCTGCCAGAAAAGACACCTGAGCAAGAGAGGCAGGGGCCCTGCCCGGTTGCCAGCACAAATCAGTCCAGCCAGGGCGACTGCCCATCCCATCCCTTCCCCGCTGCTCAGCCCCCAGTCGCCTCTGTGGCTCTGCACACCCTCGTTCTCCATCTCCGAGGGGCGTGGGAAGGAAGAAAGGGGCTGGGTTTCTTGCCTTTCCTGACAGAGAGCCGCGGAATTGGACAAGCAGAGGCATTGGGACTGCCCAGGAAGGAGGGGCTGGACGTTCCTAGACGGCGGGTGGCTGTGGGTCACGCACGGCTCAGGGACTGCGGGCAGCGGGGATGCCTCCTCCCTCAGAGCCATGGACGGCCCGGCCTGGGATGGCGTTTACCACCGCGTCTGCGAGCGACCGTCAGAAATCAGAGCCGGGACAGCCAGAGTGGAGGCAGAAGCCCCGCCCCGGCCCGGCCCACAGCCTCCCGAGGAAGCACAGGCGCTCTGGGACAGGGTGGGCGGGAGAGCTCGTCCGGACCGTCCAGAGTTAGGGCTCCTTCCACCCCGCACTCCAGCAGCTAAGCGAGCTGAGCGGAGGCGGCGGCGCGGAGCCGTCCAACCCGAGCGCACCGGGTCGGGTCCAAGTGCTTACCTCTGCGCCGCGGTGCTGGCATCCAGGATGCCCGCGCCCTGCATCCAGGAGCGCACCGAGCCCAGGCCGGCGGGCAGCAGCGGCTCCTCCTTCAGGTTCAGCCCGCCTCGGGGCAGAGCGTCCTGCGCAGGGAACATAAGGGCGCGCAGTCGGTGGGCGCCCCCACCGCCCGGGATCCGGTCCCGCCTAGGCTGCAGGCGTCGCAGCTCAGCCCGACCCGACGGCACCAGGCGCCTCCAGGAGCGCAACGCCAAGTCGGGATGGCTCAGTGCGCGCTCGCCTCCTGGGCGCTCCCTCGGAGAAAGCGGGTCCGCGGGCGCCGGCGCTGTCCCCTCCCCTCCCGGGGCGCGGGGCGGGGAGATGGAGGGATTCCCCGGCGGCCTGAGCACTGGCGGGCGGACTGCGAGCGCGGCGGGGAGGGCGGGGAGCGGAGCCCGCACCGGTCCGCGCGGAGGCGCCCCAGAGGCGCGCTCTGGCGGCTGCCCAGGGCCGAGGTCGTCGGAGGGGGGGCCCGAGCGCCCCGGGAGCTGCCTCGGGCAAGGCGGGGGCGCGGGGCTGCCCGCCCTTTCCCCCTCGCCGCCCCCACCTCCCGCCCGCCCGCGGCGCCGGCGCGGGGCGCTGATTACCATCCGGGAGGCGGAGGCTGCGGGCGCGGAGCTCGGCGGCGGCGGCGGCGGCGACAGTGGCGGCAGC